ATGATAATCAATCATTTGATGGACAGGAAATAGGCAACACAGTCAGCTCAGTACAGTCAACACCAGAACCAAGACAAGAAGAAAAATATATTGAAAGTTGTGAATAAGTATTAAGAAATGAATGCACATTCCCCCTTTTGTATTTTTAATATCTGCAAAGGTTTTCACAAAAATGTCCAAAAATGTGGCCCAATTTCTCAGGCTTTCAGGACCTGCTAAAGTTTTGAGAACAGAAGGACTTGTGACAGCAATATTTATAGGAGATTTTCGAAGACTAAGAATAGAAATTTGGCCACTCTTGGGCACAACAGGGAATTCCTCAAATCTAAAAAAAAAAAAGACATTTTCTCAGTCTATTCTGAGAAATCATTCCACATTTACACTATGTTATATGTTTATCCATAAATAGTGTGGGGAAAGAGATCTATCTACATATTATATATAGCAGTTTCTCCTCTCCTTTGCCCCTCTTCCCCCATATTTTGATTACATTTGGAGGCACTTAACATAACCTGGCCATATGAGAAATAAATGAGAGATTACTTTTATGAATTACCCATGTAAGATTGCTGAAAGTTGAAAGGGAATAAAAGAAAATGTGAATCAAACCATGGGTCTTTGAAATCTTAACTCTTCGATGAGATGCAATGTTTGTGCAATATTAAGAGCAGTAGAAGTCCATGGATTGGCTAAGAAATGCTAGCAGCAATGATTACTGCCTTCCCGTTTGCATTGCTGGATGAATCAGACTGCCAGCCAGTCCGATACTAATATGAGTTCTTGAAGTATATTGTTAAGCAAGTGAAGAAACATTAGGAAGGTACTTTAGTGCATTCCCATTTTAGTACATCAATCCCCAGAAAGGGGAATGTAGAATCTTGAAATTGGCACGTGAATTAATATCCTTTCAATTCCCTGATAGTTTTGGCTGTGATCATGGGAAACTGTCATATGGGCAGAAGAAAATAAAGTAGAGCAGAGGGCACTTTCTACATTCTGAAAAAAGTATTCTCTGGAAGAAGCACTTGAACCTAAATCTCTGGGGAGCTGACTCAAGGAGCATTGTATGCCACTCACAGTTGGGATGCTAATAAAAGATGGCCCTTTTCATTCATGAATAAGCTGCAGCATTAAGTAAGAAGGAGTGCTGTGGGAAAGTTGTTTATGAACTTTATATGTAATAAAAATGCTTTTTATGATTTAGACGTTTCCATTTCCATTTCTGACCATTCAAACTAAGCATGGCCATTTTTAGATAAGTAATTGGAGAAGCTGCTTCTTGTTTTCTCATTGGAATCTGCATCCTGTGTCATTATAGCGTCCTAAGGTTGGAGTGCAAAGTATTAAAACTGAAAGGAAGAAACAGATATAAATGGGCCAAGGGATATTGTAAGATGACAGATACAATTTAAAAAAAAGAATTGGAAGTAATTGTTCCTGCTTTCTTGTTAAAGTTCTCTTTAATCTTTCCTGTTCTCTTGTTCAAAAGCAAAATATGTAGATTTTAGTATCAGTTCTTAGTGACCAGTGATGAGTTATTACTCAACTGATTCTTGAACAATGGGTTTTGGAATAAAGTTTGTGTTATTGTCATGCCACATTTATAATTGCCCTGCTCATTTCAATGTGGTAAGAATATATAGAATAACTACTGACCAAAAGAGGAGATTTAATGACAAAATTGATCAATTATTTGATGAGAAGATTTTCCTACAAAGAACAAGAAGAAAACATTTAGTTAATATATTTAGATGGGTTAAGTAATAATAGAAATTATTAATTAAAACCTGCCTCAATATAAATATGAAAGAAGTCATATCTGTTATAAACCACAGCAGTAGAAGTTAAAATCTTTGATATTTTTAAAAAATATTTATTAATGGGCCATTGGATTTATTTTTATTAAAAAATAATTATATTGCCACTTACAGTGCATTTATATGTCCATAGAATATCTAAAGCTTTTTAAAAAATGTATGGCAAGCTTCATTTCTTAAGTGTTTTTATGTGCTCGTGAAATAAATGTAAAGTACTCATAATTTTTCTTCCCGAACATCACATAAAGATTATAACCCAGTTAGTTCTATTAATAGTTTGTGGATATTGAGAGTCATAGTTTCTAAGGCAGTGGTTCTCAACCTTTTTAATGCCGCGACCCCCAACTGGTCGTAAGTTGAGGACTACTCAACCGGTCGTAAGTCGAGGACTACTCAACTGGTGCAGCACCGTTTTCAGAATGGGACTTTTGGCGGGCTCAGCAGGGCAGAGACAGCCTGGACAATTCCTATTGGCTTTTGAAAGCCAATAGAATTAGACTCTATTCAAGAGAGTCTATTTTATTGGCTTTCAAAAGCCAACAGAATAAAAGGGAGTAGCACAGCTAAGGAAAAGGGGGGAAAATGGCGGACTGCGTTGTTTGGCGACCCCCGTGAAATGGTCGTTCGACCCCAAATGGGGTCCCGACCCATAGGTTGAGAACCACTGTTCTAAGGTAAAGATGGCAATTATGTCAACAATCAGTATGGCATGATGTCATGGTTCTGACTAATGAAACACTTCAAAGAACTTCCAGGTAAGGTTTGCCCTAAAAGCCTTTATTATCAGTGTAACAGACTGATGGCACTTCATGTATGGTTTGTGCCAGAATCTGAATTCCCCTTGCTTGCATCTAACTTTTCTTGTTAAACCCCTCCCTTATTTTGCAGTCATAAATCACATCTTCCAATTAGCCCGGAGGGCAAAGATTCACTTCTGTTCCTTTTCCCAGGCTTTCCTTAAGTCTCCTCCCGTTCTCTATCATCTGAATTAACTCTAAAAATACCAGACAGTTCTGTATATTTTGTCAAAGCAATAATATCCTATATTAACAGCATTGACACAGTAATAACTAGCTTCAAAGCTAAGTAGTACAGGGCAAAAAAATCCATTAAACAATAGGAGGGCTAAGAGAAAGAATTACTGGAATTAAATTATAGTTATATAAAAAGAGAATTGTACCTTCATCATGACAAAGGAGCATGAATTGTTTAAGTGGCTTCTTGTAGTGTGCAAGTAAAAATTCTTAGCTAGACATGCCATAAAGTCTGGGCCAAGAGCCCAGTTAAGCCATCCTGACTGAAGCATCCAGGAAATTCTAGGAAGACATACCAGTCAGCCTAACATGTAAAATGTTTGTCTGTTTTAAATGCTAGCTAATTAAGTGTTAAATGAGAACAATATACCATAAAATAATTTTTTTTATTTGCATGAAGTTTTATTCTGGAATTTGTAGGTCAGGTTATTCCTTTTGCTGTACTCCTTCTTGTAAATATGAGGAGAAAAACCAGCTTGTTAAACCATTTCCTTTCACTAAAACGAAAACTCCCAATTTCAGTCTACAGAAGAATCATATCAATGGTTGCACCCTAAAAACAGAGGAGATTAAAACAGGTCTTGGGCCTTCAGTGGACATAGGGCTTATTTGCAAGTTGGAGATATTATTTGCCCCTGAAATCATTATCACTATAATAGGAGTGCTATGGAGGCCCAGAAGAGATGCTGATGACCTGCATCTGGTTCTAAGGCTACACCTTTTGCATCCTGATCTAAAGTCAGTTCGGCTGCCTAAAGATGATTTTTACAAACTTGATGGGATTTAATCACCAATTGCAACAATCATGGAATTGAGTTTTTCCTAACAATAAAATATCTATCTTTCTTGAGTTCTCTTAAGAATGTATTTCTTCCATATAGTATAAGGTACATTATATAGTACAAAAACTATATCCTCCGCTTTCTAAAACATTTGCTCCTTGGCGCTTTAATCTGTGGTTCCCAGCATCCCATTCCCTCCCCACTCCAATTTTCATTGTCTTTATTATTTCTTACACTTTTAATCCCTTTATTCAGGGTGGAGTCAGGGTGACTGAATGGAGCTGAGCATTTTACTGGCCAGATGCCCTTCATGACACCTACATGGAGTTCACAGTAGTTATTTTCTCTTTTCACCCTGATAGAGAAACATCTGCCCGCTGCCTAGGACTGAACTCTCAATCTTAGGAGTGGGAGGCGAGCATCTTCACCTCTAGGCCAATGGGCTGCTCTTATTATACTAATAGCTGCAAAAAAATCTATCTCAATCTCCTAAACGTCTTTTTTCAATACACTTCCTAAGATAGCTGCTTGCTAAAAACAATTTGACATCGGTTATATTTGAGCCAAATAGCATACTTCAGGCAAGAATAATTGTTCTCATTATTTATACAAACTTTCTAGGAAAAAAATGAATGGCAAAGATCTTGTAGAAAATTTCTCAACAGAGTAATCCAAAATTAGGATATGATTTACTACTATTTTTTATATCTATCTTTATAAGGTGACCAACCGTCCTCCTTTAGGGAGGACAGTCCTCCTTTTGTAAGTTCTGTCCTCCCTTGAAAAGTGTCCTCCTACATGTCCTCCTTTTCGATATTTTGAAGACTAATCTGCAGGGCTTTTTTTTCCTCACAAAACGCTCAGAACGGTGTTCCGGCAAACTTTTTTTGATGTTTTTTTTTTCAACTTTTGCATGAGCTGTGCTACTCCTGCTATTGGCATTCGAAAGCCAATAGGAATTGCTGCTGAGCGCGCCAAAACACCCGGCTGGCAACTTTGCACATGCAAGTTGTCTGTATTATTGTTGCAACGAATAAAATGTTTCTTTTATTTACAATATTTTTTCTTCAATTTATTTGTGTCCTCCTTTTCATTGTAAAAAAGTTGGTCACCTTAATCTTTAACAAAATATATGTAAATAATAAAATTGGTGTTGTGTGTTCTATAGCTATTTCAGAAGTTTTTACTTGAAAATTAACTAAATTAAACTACTTGATTAGTAATAATAATCCGTAAATGTAGAACTATACTTGCTTGTGTAGATTTCTGATAAGTAGTGTTGAGTCTTTGTACATTGGAAATGGTTCTATCCTATTAAGTTATTTTCTGATAAGAGTACGGTAATTGAATCCTTTTACAAGATTTCCTTATGGGAAACCACTATGTCTCTTATTTAAGCAGAAAAGAGAAGCAGAATTAAACTAGAAAATGCACATCCTGTTGCAGCCAATAAAACCTTTCCTCCAGTCCTCCTGAAAGGGCTAAGTGATCTCAAGGTAATGGATGGAAGCCAAGTGATTATGACAGTAGAAGTTTCAGGTAAATATTTCTGCTTTCTAGTGGGCTACTTGGGAGGAAAGGCAGTATAGAAATAGAACTAAATAAAAAAATAATAAACTATTCAGAATTTTAACAGGGGTGTTATGCTTTGTAATCAAGCAGATTTGTTTGCCTTTGATTCATATTATCTCTTTATCCCTTTTTTAACTTTTTATCATTAGAGAAGACAGGGAAAGTAGAGTCTAAGGTAAATAGATGGCTCTACTGCCACTGTAGAATAAAGAAGTGCTTGAAATTTGAAGAAAAGAAGTTAAAAGCAATCCATGTTTGGTATGGCTAAAAAGCTAGGATATTTTCATGCAATTTTAAGATGGTGGCCTTCTTTTTATGGAATATGTTAATGTTAATTTTAATAAGTTAATTATATTATATGTTTTTGTACATTTCTTTGTAGCTTGGCCAGACCCTGTTTGGTTAGGCTATAAAACTAGTACAAACAAAAAATAGAACCCTTTATCTACATTTATGGAAGAGTGAGAAATGATTTGTGAAAACTCAGTTTTTCTATTGAATAGTGAGATTAAATGGGATGCAAAACACAATGAGAAAAGTGCCTAGAGCACATCTGAAGAAACTATTACTTCTATTTTTGCAAAATATATTTTCAGAAGATAGAAAAAAGGATGGGGGGGGGGCAGTTCCAGTAACTCTGGTACATAATATGTATGTTTGAACACATGTTTGGCTTTTGATAGGAGCCCATAAAATAATAGTTGATCAGACACAGGTGCATTAATGTTACTAAAGCCAAAGAATTGGTCTGTGTGTGCATGCCTGTATGTGCAGATAAGAATTCACTAACATATATATGTTCTATATTATATCCCTGTATTTTACTCAGAATAGAGCTTTTTAATATTGCTATGGCAGCAGGAAGTCCATGTGACTTTCTTGTTCTGCCTTATCTTATAGTTGCAGTTGGCCTAATAGAATAGTTCATAGACTTCCCCTGCTGCTTTTGTTTTATCTGAAACACTTCTGTTTTGTTTTATGGCTCAGCTAATCCACCTCCTGAAATAATTTGGCTTCACAATAGTAAAGAAATCCAGGAAACAGAGGATTTTCACTTTGAGAAGAAGGGCAATGTGTATCGCCTCTGTATCCAAGAGGTATTTCCTGAGGACACAGGAGAATACACCTGTGAGGCCTGGAATGACTTGGGAGGAATTCATACTGAAGCAACCCTGACTGTACAAGGTAAAGTGTTTATGTCTATATGCCAACAGGTATGCATGCACGTGCACACATACGTTTTCTGCATTTTTAACAGCTACACAGGAAAGTATTCAAAAAATCGAGAACTTCCCTGTCTCTCTGAAACTCCATAGTTTCCCTTTATATACAATTTTAATGGATATTTGGCCTTATTGTTCATTCTGCTTCACTAGGAAGAATGTACTCTAATTTCTATAACCAGAAAAGAAAATATTAAATGAGAATACATAGGTTGTGGTGTGTTTCTGTAAAGGATAGAAGTGTATGAATGTGACTGAAAAGTTAGTTCAGAAACTTGGGTATGAATGCAACATTTTAAGTTCAAGTTACAATTAGTATATTTCTATCTATTGTTTTCTTATTTATGGGTGAAACAATGGTGTATATGTATATATGTTTGTAGGTATGTATAATTACAAGCAGTTACATTTATTTGCTCAAGCACCTGATGGAATGGAATATTTAAAGATAGAACTTATGTGTATTAATTACCAAAATTGCAATAATATACTGCCATGTGCTTAATGACCTAATTTGGACATTTCATGTGTTTAGCTAACCACAGGCCATAAAACAATGGCTTTGAGTAATCTAAACAAGCAAAGAGGGAGGGAGCCTATATGTTGCATGCATGGATACAGACATAGCGTCTGTCAGCAATTCCAGAAACCAAATATGTCTTTTCCCAGAATTGCACTGTAGCCATTCTGGGAAAAGTTGCTGGTGCTGCCACTTTTAAGGGTTACCAGAGGGTGCTGTACAGGTGACCCTGAAGCACCATTTTTAGTCTTCAGATCTGAAATAATGCACTGGCCTATTCATAGAGTAGCACTTTCAAAAAGAGCCTTAAGGTAACCGTAGCTGAACCTATGGTACTAAAGCTAAAGGAAGCGCAGCTCAGCTATTCTGAGTATAGTGAATGGTGGCAATTAATTTTTGTGAAGAGAGTAAGGCAAAACGTATAATGAAAGCAAATGTTATTGAGCCAGAATGAGACACCCAGCTGCATGAATATGCTTGTGGGAATATGGAAAGGGTAAAAGTATACTCAAATGCTTTACTTGAGCATATGCATTCATGTATATTATGTATCAGGGCAGGATGGGAACCTTCTGTTTTATTATTTTATCAAGGTCCAGATTCTACCAGGGGTCACATGCATGGGAGTGGAGGTCCAAAGCCAAGTGAATGAAGCCACTCCCTTTGCTCTCTTCCCACTCTCCCTCCTGCCTTTTCTTCCATAACCCTTTTCTCAGTTTTTCTTTACTTCTGGCTGCCCAGTCAGCTTTCAGAGAATATTGATGGAGTAAATAATAATGAAACAGTGAAGATAGTTTATGGAACATTTCCCAAGATCCACAGTAGATAATAAGGGGTTAATAATTAAACTCTTGCATAAACATTCTTATATGCACAAAGGTATTGTGGTGTGGAGCTGATCAGGGCTGTTAGATTTGGGCAATTAGAAAATCTGCAAACAGATGGTGATTAAATATGTTGTGTAAAGGTTCAGAGCTCGATAATAAGATTGTTCACTTTTTTCCCACCTATTATTCTCAGATATGATAGACAAATCCCAGCCTTCAGCTCATACAGGTATAGAAATCTAATCCATGCATCTGGAGGGCACTAGGTTGGAGAACGCTGCTTCAGGGTTTTGGAAAACTTGTACAGAAGTCAGGCATTTATTTGGATTTATTTATTACTAAGACTATAAAAATAGCTAGTAAGCACTACAAAGATAACTGTAGACATAAATGTCTCCTCCTGAGATTGTTCTGTACAAGGAGTAAATCTCAGTTAAGATCTTATCTTATCTTAAGATCTGATCTGATCTTCACTCTAGAGCAGGGATCCCTAACCTGTGGGCCGCAGCCCAGTAGTGGGCCGTGGCTTACTGGCTACCGGGCCGTGGGACAGGCTGGCCAGTGTATGCACACACACCCTTACTTGCGCTAGCACTGCAGCCATGGGTCATGAAAACAGGATGCCGCACAGTGGGGCGCAAAAAAGGAGCCACTGCTGTACCTTGGGGCGCAAAAATGGGATGATGCCGCCGCCATACCTCAGGCCACAAAAACGGGTCACTGCTGTGCTGCGGGATGCAAAAATGGGTGTCACTGTGCCACAGGGTGCAAAAATGGACCACTGTGTGCAAGGTGCAAAAACAGACGATGACATGCTGCCAGGTGCAAAAATGGACACCAGTGCACTGTAGGGCACAAAAACGGGCTGCTGCCATGCCATAAGGCACAAAAACAGGATGCCACCATGACACGGGGCACCAGAACGGGTCACTGCCATGCTGCAAGGGGCAAAAACGGCCACTGCCATGCTACAAGGTGCAAAACCAGGCTGCCGCCACACTGCAAGGCACAAAAATGGCCGCCGCCTCACCACAGGGTGCAGAAATGAGGTGCTGTGCCAAGCAAGAATGGGGCAGGGCTAGTGAGTATCACACGTGTGCTAGCCATGCCCCGTTTGCAGTATGCGCATGCTTGTGGCCCTGTGCGCTTGCACGCACACACACACATGTAAAATGCTTCCCCCTCCTTTTTCCTCCAGTCCGCCAGGTGACCTCTGCTCTAGAGTATGTGAAGCAGTCTCAATTTTGTTTAATAATATATTATTGTAAGTTTCACATCAGAGTTTTAGGATGCCAGGTACTGTTTTTTGGGAGACATTTCAAGGTTTGATTTTCCTATTCTTCATTTGTCTAGATATTTAAAACAAACATGAACTATACTTGTGTTTCTTCAGTTTATTTATTTAAACATTCTCTCCAGCCCACAGATCAGGTTTTTTTTAAGTACACAGAGTACCATCTGGGTTGTTGATTTTTGTTTTAAAGACTTCAGATTTTTGGAAACAAAAGAAACATGGAAATCTTCCGGGAAACTTTTTTTTTTAAGTCAAACACATTTGAAATGACTAAGCTACCATCTCTTTACCCTAGAGAAAACAATGTTTTCACTTGTCTTTTTTTTTCAAAATCTTTCCTTCTGTATTTATAGATCACGTTTATTTTTCTCCTTTTCTTTGAACTAATTGTAATCACATTAGACATGCTGTTGCTGTAACTATTATGGAAAGTTGTGTTACAGCAAGCACCGTAATTCAGATGGAGATTATCTGAGGTATTGTTAGCTTCCCCAGGAAAAGGGATGGAGGGATATGTACGTAACATGCAAGTTTTCTACATGTTGTGCAAAGTGACTTAGGATAAAGGCTGAATTTAAACTTCTGGTATTCTGAAGACTGACCTACTAACTCATGAAAAAAAGTGAAAGAAAACTTAAAATGAAGTGACATGATCCCTTACTGCATATTTCAGAACACAGCACTTCATAAGTTTGTTTGCACTTTCACAAATGGCTGCTGTGATAGGCATGGCTATTGAGGGAAGTATCTGGGGTACAGGTTGACTATTTCTTCTATATAGGGAATTGTCAAAGATTACTGCTGCTGCCGCACTAGCCAGAATATTGTGAGTAAGCATATGCATCCAAAGCCAAGTATCCATAAAATGGTTTGTCATGTAGCCTCAAATGAAATTCAACACGTGATTCCAACAGTGTTTTCTCTCTGCCTGTCTTAACATTTTTTCTTTGTGTTGCAGAACCTCAGGATGGTATTCAGCCATGGTTTATTAGCAAACCACAATCAGTGAGAGCAGTAGTGGGGCAGAATGTCATTATTTCTTGTGCCATTGCTGGAGATCCATTCCCCACAGTTCATTGGTTCAAAGATGGAGGGGAAATAACAACAGAAGCGGGCTATGAATTCCTACAAAATGAAGACATCTTTACCTTGATTATAAGAAATATTGAACCTTGTCATGCTGGCCAGTATGAAATACAACTCAGGTGAAGTATATATTTATATAAAAGGAGTAACTCTTTCAGTCACCTAAACATAATTAGGCATTTTATTTCTATTGGTCTTTGCTTTCAAGCAAGTGTGTTCATTATATATTTTGGCTATGGGTTCCTAGGACAGTGATGGCGAATTTTTTAGAGACTGAATGCCCAAAACTTGCCCCCCCCACCCCTGTCCCCGCTCTGCCCTGCCCACTGGCCACCCATCACCTCCACGGCCCACCACAGATCACCCAGGCAGCCCAGCAGCGCCATGGCAGCCATGCCCTCTACCCGTGCCCCACAGCATCATCTGCACGCGATGGGGCGCAAGGGCAGAGTTTTGTCCCCAGCTACCATGTCCTTGGCTGCACTGCTTTGTGTGGGCCACGCCCAGGGGCAACTCTCCTCCAGGAGGGCTGCTAGTGAGAAGGGGGCCATGGGAGGAGGCTGGGTTGGGGAGACAGTGCGTGTGGCCACAGAGAGGGCTCCGAGTGCCGCCTCTGGCACCCGTGCTATAGGTTTGCCACCACTATCCTAGGATATCAGTGCCTAGGTTAGTTGCCATGTGGATTTCATATTAAACTATTGAAACAGTCAATATTTTCATTACAAGCAGTTGCTCTCCTGGCCTATTCTTAGTTTCTTTTATTAATTTGCTTACCTCTAGTAATTTTTTTAACATTCAATCTGCAATTCACATGTGATCCTATGTGCTTATTTGTTCTTCCTTTTCTCATAAAACAGTTAATTAGTCAGCACTCAGGAGAATCAAAGGCTTGCATTAAAATGCATACCTTCAGTGATAGATGAAACTCAAATCTTGAAGTACGCCTAGAGGATTCTAGAGTGAAGGTCCCACAACCAAGAAATCCTTCACTCAGAAGAATGCTTCCGAACATTGTCCACTGGAGGCAATTGTGATGCACAAAATATCATATTTGAACAAAACTTTGCATGGTGGAAGTATCCTCAACTTGCTATGATTTTTCAGAAAAAAAATATCTGGAATGTTTTGGTTATTCCACATTTTTGCTAGAACAGTTTTGGGTATTTCTACCATGGGAAACAATGGGATTCAGAGATAGCCCTTTGAACTGCAAAATACCTGGACCACCCAGATGTCATACAGGTGTAATCTGTTTGCTATCCCCTCACTGACTGGCTGGAGATCTGCAAGATAACCTTAACTCTCACTTACTCAGAACTGGGAGGTGTTCAAGAAATGGGAACCCAGAAGTGCCTTACCAAGTTTTGCAGATGGTCAGGAATGTTGACTCTCTCTTCCCCAGTATTTAAAGGATCCTCCCCCCTAGTTGGTTGCCAACACAAAACTTTTTAATCTGATAGAGTAAAACAATAGTTTTTAATCTGATAGAACAAGCATTGGTGAAAGAAAAACAAAAGAGGGATTTCTCCCCCAACACACACACACAGAGAGAGAGAGAGAGAGAGAGAGAGAGAGAGAGAGAGAGAGAGAGAGAGAGAGCTCTCCTTGGCTGCTCTCATTTGCATCTGAAATGGATATTCTTAGTAGCATTCAGAACAAAAGAATAACTAGGAGTCATAATTCATGCATATATCCTTGCTCAGCAAAACCTCTCTTGTTTTCACGCTTAAAGTGCTAAAGGCCAAAACTGTAACAAACATGTCAAATCAACTAGTTAAAACTGGCTTTTATAAGCCATACTATGGATTTCATCAACAGCATGCCACAACTTGGACTGAGTTAATACATATTTAAGCTAAATAGCCAACCAGTAGAGAGTATTTTTATATTCTTAAGTGCACTTTGAAGTCTCCATAAACAAAAAGGGCATGAGAGAATGTAGGGGACTGAATGGGCAGAGAACGAATAAAGACTGATACCAAACTTAAAAAAAAAAAAACCCCAAGAGCCAGAATTACTTCTTTGACTTTGCTTTCAAAATCAAAAAACACCATTAGCGATTTGCAATGCTGGCGTGTACAAAGCTGGTTGTGGTTTATTCAAACCATGATTAAACTCATTGTGCCTCTTCATGGCAGCTGATCACTAATACAAGCTTGAATCAAAGTTAAAAGCAACTGCTTCAAAATTTAATTTCAGTGTACAGGATAATTGTGGGATAATTGTTGATTACTAAACTTGATAATTACTGATTGCTGGAATCTCATGTTTTCAAAAGTTCATAACATGAAACAATTCTTTTTTAAAATAAAACTTAGAGCTGTGTGTCAGCTGTGCTAAATCCTCTCAGAATAAAGTAATTAATGTAACTAGTGCCAATCAATACTTGCTTCACAACAGCTTTTCCCCCAATATTGCAATAAAAACCTATGGATTCAAAACAATGAAAAGTCTTTTTATTAGAGTGTAATGTTAGGATTGGATCCTTTTTTAGGGCTAAAGCAGGGGTGTCAAACTCAATTTTATTGAGGGCCGCATCAGCATTGCAGTTGTCCTCGGGGGGGGGGGTAGGTGTGGCCAGGGTGGGCACGGCCTACTGGGTGGGCATGGCTGGAGTGGGTGTGGCCTACTGGATGGGCATGGCCAGCTCTACATCGTTCGCATCAAGGGTGCCTGTGGGGGCCTGGGCAGGAGTGGGACAGATCTGAAGGTCTCTGGCAGAAGGGGGTGGGGCCAGGGCAAGCGCCAAGGCATGGTCCACTGGAAGAGCCTGCCGAAATCCCTCCCTGGAGCCCATCAAGATGGATATGTGAAGTAGGCGAGGACCATTTGCTGGCCACTTCCAGGCGATGGTGCATTTCTTCATTCCTCACAAAGGGTGACACCTCCCCAGCATGCACCCAGGGGACGGGGCCGATGCAGCAGAGGCTGGTTCCTCACTGTTTCCAGACGGCCTTGTGAAGCTAAGACTGAATGTGTTTCAGCATAAATGGCCACCACAAAATTGTACATTGGCTCCCAGGCAGCTCGGGCCAGGGCCAAGGCAGAGGGGGCCATTCCCTCATTGTTTCCAGGATGGCTTCGCGGGCCACATGAAACCATGTTGCGGGCTGCATCCGGCCCCCGGGCCTTTTGTTTGACATGTCTGAGCTAAAGGCTAAATTCTGTTGGACAATGAAGTAGTTGGATGGAGTTTAATTTCGTCCCAAATGCCAAATGGACAAAATATACTTTTTTCCTTCCTTTCTGTCTCTCATCTATTGATCTTCGTATTGATGGTTTCCTTCTAAAATTAAGCTAAGGTTAATCTAAAAGTTATTTTTTTAGTTTTGATGGTTTTATTCACAATCACATTTATATAAGCTTGCCCCATCTGTCTTCCAGGATGCAAATTCTGATAGCATTCAGTTGGAAATATGATCCTCATTCCTAGTTTAGAAATTATGCTCTAATTGTATGGATCAAGCAAACTATAGTTTATTCAGTTATTTTAAGATTTTTTTAGCCTTGTATTTTATTTTGAGAACATTGTTGAAGTACAGCAAGCCTGAAAGTATAACAGGCATTTCTCTTTTTTTTTTTTTTAAAAAAAAAAAACACTTTTAGTTCTAATTTTGGGATGGCAAAATCTTGAAAATTCATCTGATATAATGTCTACCTCTTCTCCAGCAGTTGGCAGACAAAGCCCTTTTTCATAAAATGGCAAGCTGCTTAGGATGTGGTAGCAATGTTTACACAATCTGAGTTATGTCCCCCTCCCCCCCTTTTTTTTTACATCTCTTGGGGAGATGAACCATTTGAAGATGTATCTGCTATGAAGCGTAACATGGTACTGGGGGCGGGTGGGAAGAGGGGAAAGTATTTTAATGACTTTAATGGGAGTCATTTTCTTCAGGCATTTCTGGCATTCCTCTGCAAAAGGAAGAATAAGGGCTCAGCACCATATATGGTGACACTTTTATTATTATTTTTTTAAATATAAACATGCACAGGCTGAAACAATCCACAAGGGTTGATTATACTGTTTGATGGGGGGAGGGAAAAGAAGGAGCAGGGAAAGGAGACCCTGCTTTTAATGTCTTGGTGCTTGGAAAGTTAAAAGCTTGGTCTTCTATAAACAAAGACTGGGACAAGGATTGGAAAGAGTGTAGATGTTGTAAAGTGGCTCTTTTTTTTTTCTTTTCTTTCTACTTTTCTGCTACTTTTCCTCAGGTTACTTGTTTAGAGGTATATTCTCTTCTGATCTCCACCTGTAGCTTTATTTTGATGAGAAAAGTTTGGGTTGGGGGTGAGTGGGATGAGTGGGATGAGGAATGTTTCTTTCTAGCCAATGATGAAGTAGCTAACTACTACTGTGATGCTTGGCTGGGGAACAAAAAAAAAGATTCAGCATAGTGAAGGATTGATCTCTTCTGTGTACTATCTAACAGAGAGCAACTTTTTTTTTTTTTTTTTTGCCGAGTCTCAGTTTGTTGTACTTTTTCAGAAACCCAGTTGGAGAATGCAACTGTCAGGTATCTTTGATGCTGAGAGAAAGTTCATTTTCCAAAGAAGGAATGCAAAAAAAGTAAGTACAGTTCCCAGGAACTTATGTGGGTGGGTTTTATTTTTTGCTCGGCTAATTCTCTTTCCTTGTAGACTTGAGTTGGCTGCTGTTCAATCTAATCCCCAAATGTGACCCAACAAGCTGTTTTTATCATGCAGCTGACAATGTGGAACACTTTTTTAAAAAATTTAGCTCCCTTATATGGTTCCTGAAGTCATCATTGATGCAATAAACTATTCTGCTAATCAGCCTTCCCTTCTATAAACATATTTTGTCCTTTCTCTGAGGGGGTGATTCCTGAATTTGTTAAACCAGCTCTTTGCTCCCCCTATTTCTCTTTTCCCGCCCCTTCCTCTCCCTCTCAAACCCTTCTCTGCTTATAGTGGGAGGCAGAAAGTACGACAAGAGGCTGATTGTGGAGAGGATGCACTGACATTCAGAAACATCAGTGGCTCCTTCAGGAGGAATACTGGGGAAGGCCAGCAAGTAGAGGAAGAGCAGGAGAGTGTCCGTGGAGTGCTTAAAAGACGTGTAGAAACCCGAGAGAGCACAGAGGAGAAGCTAAGGCAACAGGAGGCTGAGCAGATTGACTTCCGGGACATTCTGGCAAAGAAAGTGAACACCAAAACTTTTTCTGAGGAGGAGTTGAAGGAAATCCCAACCAAACAAATGGACTTCCGTGGTACCCTGCAACGGCAGGTCAAGCCGAAAACCTTGTCAGAAGAAGAAAGGAAGGTCCATGCTCCACAGCAGGTAGACTTTCGTGGAGTATTGGCAAAAAAGGGCACCCCCAAACCTTCCTTACCAGAAAAGGCAGCAGGTTCAAAGCCAAAGCCAAGCACCCCAGATTTTAGATCTGTGCTTGCTGCAAAGAAAAAAACACCAACAGAGAATGGTGGCCCTGGGACTCAAGTCCAGAATGTGAATGCCAACCCTGAAGTGCAGAAATCTAGTGCCAGCAATAAAGTGCCAGACATCAGCATCCCCTCTAAAAATCCTGTGACATCCAAGAAGTTGAACGCTGTCAATGCTACTTCGAAACTACCAGAGACCAACACCGTTCCAGAATCCCAGGATATCAACTCTAGATATAAAATACAGAATGCTATCACCAAGAATGAAAACCAAGTTACTAATTCCAGCTCAAGGGAGAAAGAGAATAAGAATGACAGTAATTGCAAAGGTGATTGCCCACCAGCAGTAGATGGACGGATAACCAAAGATAAAGAAAAAGATAACAAAATAGAGCCTGAGGGAATAGCACCTTCCTTTACCGAAACGCTACAGGATACCAAAGTAGTAGAAGGTGAAAAATTGGTCTTGCAATGTCAGGTTTCCTCAGAGCCACCTGCTACTATCATCTGGACCCTGGATGGCAAAGTCATCAAATCATCAAAGTTTATTGTTCTCTCCCGAGAAGGTAAATTGATGTAAACAGCAAGGCAACCCACACTACATGCTGCTGTTTACAGCCTACTTCTTTGATTTCATTATTTTTTACTATATATATATATATATATATATTTACTATATTATTTTTTACTATATGTGTGTGTGTATGTGTGTGTGTGTGTGTATCTCGCTATAATTTTGTTTACTTCTGTCCCTTTAATTGATTCAAAATTTGCCAGTATTTGTTCTGCAAGGAGCAAAGAATAGTCTTTTTAAAATGTTTCCTGCAACTTCAAAAATGTCAGGCAAATTTTTATTACAATATCTTTAAATTCAGGTTTATGTTTTATATAAACATGGTTTTATATTTTTAATTAAATCTTTTAACATTTAAAATGCAACTTCAGATGAGGAATTCCTTCATAGCAATTCATTTTCAGTATCTAAATCCTGGCATAATTACCATATTAAATGAAAAATTTGCTTTTGTGCTGAAATTGAAACAGCAATAACTAATAGCTTTGTTTAAACACGTCCTTCAGAATTATCTGAGACAAAATATAGGAAAATTAATTCCCAATTTGCTCAAGTTAAATATTACTTCACACTGATATTATTTGATAATTTATCTTTTACTACTCTACAAGGATGTTAGAATTCAATAATATTTAAACAATGAGCATGTGCTAATTCCCTCAAATCTAAAGATTAAATTTTAATGTAAAAGTCATCCAACCAAGTTTTAACTGCAGAAGTTAGAACATTCTTTGCCAAATATTAGAGCAACTTTTACTTATCTGGAAACCCCTGGAAATCCCAGGATTGCTAAAGACCATGGTGGCTGGGAACTTTGGAAGTTATAATCCAAACCATTTGAAAGGCCCAGGCAGAAGGAGGCTTATTAAGACCTCCTTTTACATATACATTTTACATACAAAGTAAGATGAAAGTGAATGCTCTTGGTGTAAAATAATTCTAATTGTATTTCTTTGCCTTGTCTTTTCTCTTTAATCTTTTTATTTAACTATATATTACTCTTTTTCTGGACTTTATATAACATGATCAACTGAAAGAAAGTAGTATAAAGGCTTTGTATATGTCCAGGGAGAAAGAGAGAGAGAAATGATTGTGTATTGCCTCAAAAGGCATTGGAGTACCCTGAAGAGATTTAATATACTGAAATACTTGAACTAATGACAGGATATTTTTTGATAAGATTTATTTAATATCTTACTGGAATTCTGCAATCCATATTTAAAATTGTCACTACTGATATATGTGAGCTTGTGGCAAATAAAGATATAAGAGATAAATTGTAATAATCACTTTGCTATTATTTTAACAAAAATAAAAAGTAAATACATGCTTTTGAAGTTAGATAAAGCACTTTTTCTTCCCAAGAGCCTGTTGCACTCCACTGAGCTGTAACACTTTTGTCATCCCTCATCATTGGATATGCTGGCTGCTGGGAATTATACTTCAATGCCATTGAAAAATCAGAGATTCCCCATATTAGCCACAGTTCCAATTTAATGATCAGTAATTTTTGAGAAAAGTAAGATCAAGGGTGTGTGTGTTCCTTTTTCCATGGGTGTCTGTCCTTCCAATACCATCGAAGTTAGCTGGTTGTCAGAGAGAGAAGTTGTAGTCAGATCGGCAGCACTGCTTTGGATTCATCTTCCTGAGTGCAACTCTTAGTACCAACAGCACAGGTGAACAAGGGCAGAAACTTTGAGGAGAAGAAATGGTGCCACAGCCAAATCAGAGGTGGGGCCTTTAGAGGGTATGAATCTTCAAGACGACTTAAACCACTGTGTTGACTTCAACATTTCACAATTAAATAAGGCACATGTTAGGACAGGGTATGAATTAGATATGGAGTTTGACATGATGAACTCAATTATTGATATTATAGCAAACAATTTTCTCATTACTATACTTGCATTTCCATCAGATAACAGGAGGCAGAGACGCTATCTAAAGGGGCATATAGCAATAAGCTATTTCTCATTCATCTATGCATTGTTTGGGAATAACAAGTCTCTAAAAATATTAATTTCCAATAAAATTCAGTGTCAATTCAGGAGAATTATGATGTTACTGGTGTTCTTAACTGTAATCGTATTTTAATTTTTTATTTTACTAAATCTGTATATTCACTTGACCTAGTTTTCCCATACATGTGAAATCTAGGATTTGCTACTTCAGACTGCAGTGTTGTGTATCATAAGATGGAATGCTGCTCTGTAAAAAACATTTTTCCTTATAGATGTTAGAAATGGGCTTAATTACGTTTCTGACATTGTCCTCAGCTCTCTTATTTTTGTGCTCCCAAGCATGTCTTCAGGTCAATCTTGATTCCTAGCAATGGAAGAGGACTAGAATTCATAGTCTCCTGGTTTCTATCCTGGTGCCTTTAAATAATACTGTACCCACAACTGGCCCTCCCTTGGGTTATTCTATCATATAAGTGAGGCCAAAGTTATAGGGAGGACTAGACCTTGGGCTTTCTCTAGGCCAGTGGTTCTCAACCTTTTTAATGCCGCGACCCCCAACCGGTCATAAGTCAAGGACTACTCAACCGGTCGTAAGTCGAGGACTACTCAACTGGTGCAGCACCGTTTGCAGAATGGGACTTTTGGCGGGCTCAGCAGGGCAGAGACACCTGGACAATTCCTATTGGCTTTTGAAAGCCAATAGAATTAGACTCTATTCAAGAGAGTCTATTCTATTGGCTTTCAAAAGCCAATAGAATAAAAGTGAGTAGCACAGCTAAGGAAAAGGGGGGGAAATGGTGGACTGCATTGTTTGGCGACTCCCGTGAAATGGTCGTTCGACCCCAAATGGGATCCCGACCCACAGGTTGAGAACCACTGCTCTAGGCAGTTCTGTACCTACATATACTGCACCAGATTATCAAGCCATTGGCTACAATATTTCTAGGCTACTGTTCAATGTATTTTGAATGTATTACAAAAATCATTGCAGAGAAGTTGATAGATATCATGGATCCCAATATCTTAAACACCCAACTTTTTTAAAATTAAAATGCAAATACAGCAGAACCCAGAAGAGTCCAATCAAAGAGGGTGGAGGAAATTTTCTCCTGGTTTGCATCTGCATTGCAGTGCTTGAAGTTTTCAATGATTGAAACCCCATCTACTGCCTAGACCAGGGGTATCAAACTGCTGGCTCATGCGTCAACCGGAAGCCACATCCACCCCATTGCCGGCAATGGCAAAACCGTCCCGATATGTTGTGCGATGTCACATGACATCGCAAGTTTGACATGTCTAGACCCTAGACCAGTGGTGGCAAACCTATGGCACGCGTGCCAGAGGCGGCACTCAGAGCCCTCTCTGTGGACACACATGCTATGCCCCGGAGATGGCAACCATCCCTCTTCAAGCAGCCGCCTGCTAACTCGCGGAGGTCCCACATGGCCAGATGCATCCTAGCATGGCTGGTTTCCCTCCCCCCCGTCATCCCTCCTGGCCTCACATGCTGTCCTTTTCCCGGGCATGACCCACTGCATCGCCTCCTCAGCTGTCGGCCAGCCGGCCAGCTCAGAGGCAACTTCTCTGAACTGCTGGCAGTGGGCTGCGGAGCCCTTGAGTGTGCAGGTCAAGGGGCTGGCAGGCTGAATTTATAGTATAGGGAGAGGAAATAGGATCCAGATCGGTTATTCCTTAAATAAATATTTCAATTTAGAGCCATTCCTCTTGTTTTTAAGTATGCAGGGTTTGTCATAATTTTGTATATTTGATGCAATCTATGTAACACCATTGCCTACTGTTTGAGCTATGTTATTCTTAGAAATCATAAATTTGCTTAGAATGAATAGGGATTCACTTCATGCAGTAGGTGCACTAGAAAAAAGCAGTAAAATATTTATTTGACCAAGCTAGGAAGTCATAATTCTTTCATTGGTTTTATCTATTTACTTACTGTATGCATGTATGGATACTTAAAAGGCAGTAACTGAGTTTGTTTCAATAACTATATTAAACCCTCAACCTATATCAGTGGTGGCGAACCTATGGCACGGGTGCCAGAGGCGGCACTCAGAGCCCTCTCTGTGGGCACAAACACCATTGCCCCAGTCATAGGCCTTCAGCTGGGTTTTATAAAACCTTTTCGCTTTAGGCCTCCACTGCCGTGTACAAAAAAAAAAAAGGTTCAATCAATCAGTCAATTTCAATTTCTCGCAGGGAAAAAAAGATCTTGCAAAGTTGGAACTGATTGATTGAACTTTTTAGTCCCAACCAGTCTGCTGTTACCACTGCAGCCACGCCCACCCAATGGGCCATGCCCATCCAATGGGCCACACCCACCCAATGGGCCACACCCACCTGGCACCCGACGATTGCATAAGTGGGTTGCAATTTGGGCACTTGGTCTCTAAAAGGTTCGCCATCACTGACCTATATCCTTGTTCTCAATATATATATATATATTTTCTTGTTTCAGATTATTCATTTGGCTCTGCTACTCTAGTTTTTGCTCTGTTACAGATTAGAATAGAAAAAATATTAGTTTCTACTTAGATGAGATTTGTAGTTTAAATAAGTACTATGCCCAAAGCAAGAATATAATTTAGTAACTTTAAGACACCAATCATAGGAATCCTGGTTAAATGCAATGGGTATATGCATAATTCTATAATTGTTATCCATTTCTTTAGCCAAAAAAGGCAGCTTATAAAAATCATTAATCAGTTAACCCTGTACTTAAGCTAATGATCTAAAAATATAAGGAACATGAAACGAGATGGTGAGGGAGGGACTAGATGGCAATTGCATGAATTACATAGGAAAGGGAAGAAGAGAAAAAAGAGTAAGATGTCACAAAATGAGTTAAATTTATCAGACAAGTACTACTTCTCAATGACTAATATTCAAAGAAATGCATACTTTTCAGTACAGTAGTCATGACTATATTTCTGGAATACAGTATAGGCTACAAAAGATGAAGTCCTATCCATTTCCCCTGTTCAGGGGAAACTTTCGGGAAATGCCATGGATTCTGTTTGGCAGTTTATTCAGAAGCCTAAAATGGATTGCAAAAGAGAGCTTATCTTCCTCTCTGAAAGAAGATATCCCATTAACTAAGTCAGATATTCAATTAATAGCAGAGCCCATACTTCTTACCCATATTATTTGATCCAATTCATATAATAATGCCAATTTTTAACACAAATTATTAGAAGGTTCTGCTATCAATTTTCATATGCCAGTCCTTCCTTAACAAGATTTCTTCTATAAATAACTGTTCTAGTAATCAGTGACTGCAGAATGATTGCTGGATAAAATAAATAATTAATGAATTGGAATTATATTTTCTATTCTGCCATGATGATTCAATTTTTCTGAGAGAGTCTGCCCATCCTAGCAGATTGATAGGGTAGGCATTCTCCAGTACCTTTTCTGAAATGTTCCCATTGAATGGGACCTGAGAAGTGTGCCCTTTTTGTGTGTGGCTGCTTCTACCTTATGGAACATCCTCCCTCTGGTGATCTGGCAGGCCCTCACCCTCTTAACCTTCTAGAACAGGGGTGTCAAACTGCCGGCCTGCAGGTTGAATGCATCACGCGGAAGCCATGCCCAGCCCAGCTCTGGCAAGGGGAAAAAATTGCGATACATCACGACACGTCATGTGACGCGGCGAGTTTGACACCCCTGTTCTAGAAGGTCATCAAGACTTAGCTTTTTACCCAGGTAAAAGGCTGGGGTAACAGGGAGAGTGTTTTGGATTGGCCGTTGGGGCATCTCAAGGTAACGACTGAGGTTTTGGTTGTATATTATGGTTTTATTTGTATAGTATGGTTTTTATAGCTTGAGAATATTATTGTCATGAGCCATCCAAAGTTGTGTTTAAGATGTGCAGCCATACAGGTCTTTGAAAGAAATAAAAATAAATTATACCATTTAGTAAATGTGAAGATTATCTGAGAGATGTTTCTTATTCAAAAATGATCGGAGAATATCCCTGCATTGCCTTGCTTTTTTGATGGGGGAGGGGGGAAATAATCCCAGTATGTGTATGTTCCAGTACAATACGGTACTTGTATTTCAACACTGATAGCCTCTGAGAGCCTCTGAGAGCCTATTCCAGTGATGGCGAACCTTTTAGAGGCCCAGTGGCCAAACTGCAACCCAAAACCCACTTGTTTATCACCGGGTGCCGGGTGGGTGTGGCCACGGTGGTCATGGCAGACTGGGTAGGCAGGGCCAGGGCGGCGGGGGCCAGTGCCTCGCCATCTCCGGGGCATGGCACGTCTGCCCACAGAGAGAGCTCTGAGTGCCGCCTCTGGCACGCGTGCCACAGGTTCGCCACTACTGGCCTATTCTATGTGTGAACTTTGTATTCTGTATATTTGTATATTCTGTACACCCATTTTCTCTAAAACCACATACAAGAAATGGCCAGTAGCCTTAAAAATAGCATATGGACTTTTTGTTCTGCATTTCTGCATCAATTTTATCCCAGCATTTATTGTAAAAGAGCAAATGAATCCTAACAATAAGATTTTTTTTTTACATATTTGGAAACTCACAATTATTTTAGAAACATTGGATGCCACATATAATGTGAATTGCTCATTCTCAGGATGTTGCTTGCATTGCCAGATGCTTTCTCAGTGGGAGTTAGGGTAGCTCTGGTTCCTGACCAACTGGGACCATAATTTTCTAAATTCTTTGATGTTTGTACTTTTACTGAGCAGATGTTTCTGTCCTTTATCTGAAGTATTTTAGAATTAGAAAAAAAAAGCATAAGAGATTCTTTAGAGTTCCCCCCCCCCCATAATCTGTGGTTGAGTAGATCTGGGAATAGTCCCTGTGGAAAACAGATATCCCAGCCGATTCCCGTTATAGCACAAATCAGTGCACAGAAGAAGTATAAGATACATCTTCTACTAAGATTGCCAAATTATAATTTGGAGACTAGGGAACTGTCTCTCAGTGCATCAGTAATGTGAAAAACGAGACTGCTCATTTGCTATTCTTTTTTCCTTTGTTATATCATTTTTCCCAGTCTCTTGTAATAAGTAGAACTCTGATGTTTTATCCACTGCACACACCATCAAAAAGTCAAGAAAGTGACAGAAGGAGCATTTGATTTTTTTTAAAAAAAACTTATTTATATTTATGGTCCAGATCTGGCACCTTATTTGTGAAAACTATTGCTCTTTATTAATTCATGGAACAGTGTACTGTAGGGGCCTTAATGCATTAATGTGCTTTTGCAGTATACAAAATGGATATTGTAAAACTAGGCTATAACTGCATCAGATACTTACCATAAGTAGGTGCTAAAATAAAGTAGCATACTTCAGCAGCAATGCATAATGTGACTGTAAGAGGAAAAAGACAGCTGAACTTAAATTCCCAACTTTGGTTACTTGTATGCCTCAGCCTTAATTGTTTTTCAGATTTCAACATCTCAATAACTTTTTTTAGATTCCTTGGGGTACGTAGCAGCAGTTATTACAGCTGGAAGAGGGAACATGTTTTGCTGGCCAAGATAGGAAAGTAAAACACAAGCGCTACCCTGTTAAGATGCTTTGTATATTTGTTATGAAGACAACTGACTATCAAGCTGGCAAGAACTGGAAATCTTTTGCCAAGTTTGCACTATTTCAGTTAAACCAAACATCACCTTCAAATAAGTCCAAAACTCAAAAGTGTCTTAGAGTGTTTGGGCCTATAGCTCTATGCTATAAAATCTATGAAAGATTGGATCCTTCCCACAGCGTTGGGAAACATGTTCCCTTATAATCCCAGCTATAAACATTTTGACCATGTTGTGCCTAATGCACTGAAGTTGCTGCTTCAAAACATTGCAGTGCTCATTTCAGACATACAAATTTCATAACACACTATTAGTTGGTTGACAGCTATATAAACAAATCAGAGAAGGGGTAGATCAGCTTTTGCAGCAATGCTGTTGTTCTCTCTCCTGGGATTTTATTTTGTAAGGTGCCAAGAAATTCAGAATTCCGGACTGGAGTTACCAGACAAAGTTTTCTCAGAACTATGAGAAAAGAATCTCATCTCTGGAGGTCAACAAGGGTTTTTGTGGAGGAAATACCAAATGTTTCATTGAGAGACATATGGTCTCCCAACGCAGGCAATGAAGCAATTACCTAGGTCACAGACTTTTTGGAAAATGTTGTGTCCTTAGTAAACATAGCTAGCTTTCCTTTTTGTTTGTACATTTACTTGAAGTACTTTAAGGAAAATACTTGTGCATGATTAAAGCCTGGGACATCAGATATTTTTAATTCTAAAGTGAACATCCTCTGCCCTGACCTTTGGAGAAAGAGAGAGATTGGCGTTTGTACTGTGATGGGCAATCAGAATTGACTTGACTGTATTAAGTTCTAAACTAGATGGAGTGGTCATGGTGGTAATAATGGATTTATTTTTATCAAAGTGTTGACATTACAACATATTGTTCAAGTGACTTTTTTTCTAGAATAGGGATGCAAAACATATGGTTCCCCCAGATTTTCTTAACCTATAATTCCTAGCAATCCCAGGAACATAGGTGATGTTGAGGGATGTTCCCACAAATCTGAAGGCTACTAGGTTTATAAATACTGAGGAAAACACAGTAGGATTTGGACACGTTTTCTCTTTGAATCAAAATCTTGAATAAAGTTGAAGGAAGCAAAATCTATAGGAATAGTTTCATGGTCATCAGTCATATTATCTGGAATTTCTGGATGCTGTAATTCCAAATATTTAAGAGAACCAGAACAAAGGATACTGTTTGAATTGTTTATATCTTTCTGTGTTCTGGCTGAATATGCCCAAATTCTTGACTTGAAATTGCACTGGAAAAGAAGAGATAAAGGTAAGCATTAAGGATTTTGATGTCTTAATCATAACACTATCCTTAATTTCTGAAAACCTGTTTTCATGAATCAAAAGTAAGACCAACCTTTTGGCCTACAGAAAAGGACTACAAAGTTTCTCTTATGTTAGGAACTTTTTCTAAATGTTCATGCAAATTTAGAAAAGATGATGATTTTGGTCTTATCAGTTCTTCATTGAGTTGAGTTCATTTCAGTTTAGATCATTACACTTCTGTGATTTGTCTTTTGCTTTCCATTAGGCTCACTGTGCTCACTGACCATTGACAAGGCCTTTCCTGAGGATGAAGGCCAATACAAATGCATAGCTGAAAATACTGCAGGAAAATCAGAATGCATTTGCAGCGTGCTGGTGAAAGGTAAGTAAATTGACCCAAATCTCAAAACTGTTCTTAAGAATCCTTAGGTGATACTATTCATATTCTGTTTATGTCAAAATTCCAATCCCTTCCTATCTTGGTTCCCATTCCTAAAACTATCCAAAAAGTGGGGGGACTCTTATTAGTTTCTTTCTGCTCCATACTCCTTCCATAATAAATTAGCTTTTGAATGGGACATTAAACCAGCCAATCATGTGTCTATATTGTGCCTCAATTAAAGACCCTCCATGCTGTTAATTTTGTCAAATCTGAATTTGCTTTAAAACCCTGTCAGCATTATTAATACAATTATGGAATACAATTATCAAGACTATTTCTGTATCAAAGAAACATCTATCTTTGGAGCATTTTAACCAAATGATGAGTTACTGCACACAAGATAAAATTTAATTGTAACAAACTAATAGCACAGGTGAGAGAAAAAAGTGAAATGTTTCTTGTTTTAGTGCTTTGTTGTTGAATTGGAACTGTGATAGAAATTTGTCAACCAAGAAAATAGTGAACAGAGCCTGTGCTATTCTGTTGTTATGGACATGCCTGTTTCTTAGCTAGTTTTCATCCACAACCCTTAATGCAAGCAGACAAAACCAACTCAGGCTTAAATCAAAGCGCATGTAGCTTTCATGGCTGCATAGATTATCCCTAAGACTTTTTATTTAGTCAGTATATTAATTTTATTTTACTTAAAACCTGCCTTTTAGCAATGTATATTATTGTTTTCCATAAAGGAGTTTGGAGATGACCTTGGGGAAAGAATTCATATAAACCTTAGCCCAGATAAGCAAAAGGGGTGGGGGGGAACACTTTAGTGTAAGTGGGAAGAGAGAGAATTTATGTCAGTTTTCAAGATTCTTTTATTATAACCTAAAACAATAAAAGAGTTTCAGTAGTTCATGTGGTGTCTGTTTCCTGACCTGGTCTGGCTCAAAGGGCTGACATTTTCACTTATCCTCTCTTTTGGGTTTATTAGACTGAGTGTGTTTGGTCGTGGCTATTCTGTCAATTTCAAAACTAATATTAGACTCTGTTGATTTTCATCACCCTAGGATATTGTTTGTCAAATAGGGTAAGTTGGCAGGATTCAGATATCATGCTAAGTTATATACCGCTTATAAAGTAAAAGATAAAACAACTTAATGTAAAACCAAATACATCCCAATAAAAAATCCTACTCCAAATTAGTTCCTAGTAACTCCTTCTTTCCAAATCTGATTGTTCCATATAATCTATCTTCATAGCTAATAGTCTCTGATAGGCATTTCATTAATTAGTTATCTAATTAGTTTTTAAACCCATTATCACATCCAATGGCACTGGACTCTGTAAATTAGTTACACATCACTGGATGCTTTAGATTGAGACAACGGGAAGAAGAAAAACATTATCCAAGTATTCCTCATTTAGCATCCACAGCTGGAATCAGCAACTTGATCCTTAAGTGAAGCAGTTGGCAAGTGAAGTTGCAACTGCATTGCAATCTTTTTTCAGCTTTCCTTTGCTTTACAGACCTATGAAGGTTGTAAATGTGAGGATTGATCATAAAGTCACTGTTTCATCTTGGTCATAACTAAGCATTTACAAAGCATTCGCTAAAGGAGGACTATTCTGTAGATTTTTGCTCATATACAGTAGTGGGATTTCGTATTGTTTTTCCAGTTCTAGCTGCAACCTTTATAGGCTTCCTAAACCTGCTCTGAAAATTTTTTCCTTATGGATTGCAGGTTTCTGAAGAATCTTGAGGGGTAAGTGAGGGAAAAATTGTCATGTCAATAGAGGTCATTCTGTGTGTAGAACAATACAACTGAAGTTTCCATCACCAAGGTCCTCTGGCTATACCTTCCTCAGTCATGCTGACTAATTTGCAATGAATTGTGCAGATGACACTCAAGACAGATATGAATCCCTGGTTTTTTTAAAAAAATCAATTGTTCCATTCATCATTTGCACAATTGCTTTATTTCAGGTACTGGCCTTCTCATCTTCTTCATTATTGGACAGTGAACAGCCATGTGCTAAATTCCAAAGACATTGATAGAATGTCCTTTCTCAGTATCCAGTTATTAGTCACAGATATATTTGATGTCCCCATTGTTCCTTCTTTAATGTCCCCAATGCATCTTTTTGTTCACATGTAACTTAAGCCATTTGAGGATAATTTAAAATCTGGCAAAGGGCATTAGATCAAAGCCCAGTAGATCAAAGCCTTTTGCAAGTTATCTTGCAAGATCCTCCGTGTCTTTATAAGGTTATGTTGCATCATTAGAACAAATTACCTCTTGTAGTTGTTTAAGGCAAATTTGTTTTGAACATTAACTCACCTTTACTCACAATGAAATTAGAACAGTACCATAGCATTTTGCTCTCCAGTTATAAGGTTATTAGGTAGTCACTTATCATAGAAAGAAGCAAAGATACGTATTTATAGGATACCACTGCAGCCAGTATAATGAAGCGCTGCTAATAATAAGGAGTTTTTTTGCTACCCTATTAAATTCTGCCAAGTCCAATCGTTCCTTAATATTTGAAGTAGAAACTTGAGAGGTAGCTCATACTCAGAACAATCACCATTTTTGTTTTAAATTTAGACTAGAAATATCAATATATGTTACTGATTTGGATTGTAAAGTGGTACTGGAAATAAAGGCAGCTATTGTTTTGCAAAGATGCACCAAAATTTAAAATCACATTATAATTTCAAGTAACAGACATAGTGTTTCCAGTCAGCACTGACCAGATCTAGATCAGTTCATGTTCATCAAAATTATTGTAGCATATGCCCTTGTTAGTAACTTGCTTAACCAGACCTATGTATTAGATTAATTGTTTCCATCCAGTAGAGTATTGTGTTATATTGTTTGCTTTGCATTGTTTTGTTTTAAATGCTTGGAACTGATTTTTATTTGCCACAGGTAAGCACATCAGTGACTATTTACAGCAGTCAAAGATTAGTACAAAAGACAGAATACATAGTTGATGCCAAAAGAATATTGTAGTGCTTGAATATATCTTCCAATAGTATATGTACATACTCTGTTGGTTTCACTATCGCTTCTGGTTAAATAAGTTTTTACAGTGATACAGAGATACAAACATCTTTTTTTTTGTGAGTAGAACATACACAATGTGAATGATCTTCGTGCAAATAGTCTTGATTTTCTTGAAGTCTTTAGCATAAAATCCTGATATCAGCCCTTGTGGCTCTACTCCAAAACTGAAACTTGACCAGTTCTTTCAGCATTAGCTCAATAGACTTATTTTTCCTAACTCCCTTCATTTTAAGCCCTCTTCAGCAGATTCATGTTTTTATAGCAAAAAACTTTCCACATGGGACATAACCCAAATAACCTGCATGCATGCTTTGAGTAAAGTAATAAGATGGATGTTTAAAATTTAGAGATTTAAAGAATTCTAATCGTAACATTTCCTGGGGAGCAAAGAAAACTATTTTCATTCTGTTTTTCAAAATTTAGCCTGTCCAAGTCATTGTTGTTTAAATATCACAACAATCTCCATTTGCTTTCTAGCCCAGTTAGAATCAAATGACAGACAAATCAGAGTTCTCTTTTCACTGCAGTTGTTGCTCTTTATCTCAAAATGGTGATTTGGTTCTTAATTATTCTAACCTTCCCCCCCCCCACACTCCCTGCAACCTGTTTCCAATTTCAGAGTCTTTAAAGTCAACGGAAAAGAAGACCAAAAACCCAAAGACTTCACTGGGTTCTGTGCATGGAACAGAAAGTAGGTATCTTTGCTTTTTCTTCATTTTTTTCTAAAATGATGTAGGTGCTTTGAAGTCATTTTCTATAACTGTGATTTAAATGGTCTCTTCCAGGTATATAGCAATTAAATCTTTAAAAAAATTCCTGACTGGGGATTTGAGGAGTTCCCAAACTGGTTGAGATGGTCAATTTGAAAAATCTGATTATAATAAGACAAAAAAAGTTGGCTGGCACTGCTGCATGGATCCCAATGCCTTAGATTTCTCCCGTGTGGTTGTTCCTCTGTTTTCCCAACAGATGAACAACAGATGTAATTATTTTCACTATGTAAACAGGTAGTTTGAGAGAATCTCAGAGAATACTTTGCACCTAGTTAAATTGCCTCAGTATCAACTTTTCTGTACTGAACCTGGAAATATGTTAAAAAATACTGGAGATACTCAGATATAGCTCAGATACTGTGATGAATGAATTCCATTCCTTTATTCTGCCAGAAAGCCTTTTCTTCCATTACCTCTCCCCATTCTGTCAAATTTAGATAAGCCATAGTGTAACCAATCCAAAGTGTCCTTTCCATTAAAAAAATGACACCTTTCAACTATAGCAAATAACTTTCACAGGTTCCCCTTGCAGCCTCCTAACCACCCCTAATCCTACTTCTACCTTTAATCTTACCTTAATCCTACAACCTTTTGACAACTTGAGTTTCTCTTCTTTTTTTGAGGAGGGTGATAGTGATATCCTGACATTGTACCGGTGGGCAAGGAGAGTTTATGTGATAGATTCTTTTAGGCAGGCAGAGGGGATTACTAGTGTTTATTTTGTTGTTGCTGCTGCTGTTGGTGTTGTTGGTATATTAATCCAATCTGAAATTCATATATATATATATATATAATTCAAAGTAACAGATTAATAGTAAAAGACTCCTGTAATTGGGCAGCATATGGATGAATTTTAGCAGTTTGAACGTTGTGAGCTCAGAAGCCCACACAAGGAGATGTTGGGGGTTGTATAAAGCCTAAATGATGAACAAACATGTGATATATTATCTGACTTTTTTTTTTAGATGTTCAAGAAATTGTAAGTGCAAGGAAATAAAAATTGCTTCTTATCTTCTACTGATAGAATTATTGTACGTGTAGCACTAGTTCTGGGATATCCTTGCTTTTCTGAACAACTTCAGTGCCTCTCAGTTCCTTCTGACTTTCAATGAGGACATTGACTAGCTATAATATTTATGATGCAAACAAGCTTTGGTATACATGTGTTTTTGAGGACAATCCAATTGATTATGAACCATTGCACATACATTTGCTGCTGTAATATAACTAGGGGTATACAAATTAACTTCTGTGATGGCTTTTTTCTCTTTCCAATTTGCAATTATGTTACAAGCTGATTATTTTTCTCCCTTACAAAAATGTAAAGGCTTGCTTGGGGTTTGGGAGTTGGCTGAGGAAAACCAAATTTCTGATTTGCTGATTAAGTATCTAGCTTTATTCCTAAAATAAGAATTGAGAAAAGACTGCATGGGGAGGAATTTAGTAGTGGCATAAAATTGTTAATCAGGAGTTTCCTAAGTATTGTGATCCCTGTAGTAAAGCATGGACCCTCCAAGAAATCAAAGAGAGAGAGAGAGAGAGAGAGAGAGAGAGAGAGAGAGAGAGAGAGAGAGAGAGAGAGGGAGGGAGGGAGGGAGGGAGGGAGGGGGAGGGAGAGAGAGAGAGAGAGAGAGAGAGAGAGAGAGAGAGAAAGAAAGAGAAAGAGAGAGAGAGAGAAGGCAAATTTCTCAGCCTCTCATAGCTAAGACACTGTGGCATTAAGCCACCTAACTTCATTATACCTGGATTCATAGGGTGGTCTTTTGTCCAATGCCCCCTCCCCACTGCCCAAAGCAGGAGTCCTCATACCATCTCAGACAAATGGTTGTCCAATCTTTGGAGAATAAATCAACACTCTCTTCCCTGTGGCAGTTCTTCAAGTATTGGAAAATTGCTATCATATCTCCTTTCACTTTTTTCTTTATTAAGCTAAACAGCTTTGTTAAGGTAAACATATATTTAGCCATTTTTCATAGGATTTAGCCTCCAGGCCCCTTATCATCTTTATCATTCTTCTCTTCACTCTTTCTAGGACAGTGGTTCCCAACTTTTTCTATACCCCACACCCCTAGAATGTTTCTGATATAGTAGTGGCCAAAATTGTGGAAACCTTTTGGGAAAAGTGTACAGTAGAAATGTCACCTTTGGTTAAGTTTCCACCATTTTTTCTTCTAATTTCTTTATAACTGTAGCCTTGTTCACTTAATAATACTATTTTACATCTCTTTCTGGGTAACCAGTCAACTCTTTGCACCATTACTTTAATTTTATTACGTTTTACAAGCTCACTAAATGAAAGAACACAAAAAAACCCAACCAACTTGATAGCGACCACATAACACACTGACAAATGTCCTCCTCTCAGCTTCAATACATGACATCAATAACTGAATCCTACTGTGATCTGATTGGCTCATTGCCAAAACAAGATGACACCTGATTGGCTCTCTAACACTCATGCTCATTGGCTACAATCAGATGAAGGAAAGCTACCGGATATCAACCTAAGCAAGTTGTGCTTCCTTTTTCTGGTTATTTGGCTATAACTTTTCATAGAATATAGTACAGATAATTGAACAAACTTTGTTGCATTACATTCTTGATTAAATTATCTTTCCATTGATATATAATTTTATGGTACTATAAAAAAAAGTGGTGTTATTAGCCATCAAACCTCAAAAATACACTTTCCCAAAAAGATTTCCACAATTTTGGCCACTATTGTATATTCTCGCACCCCTTACAAAAGTTCGAAATAATTGCAATAAATTTGCATATACACTATAATTTTGAAAAGCCAACTTTTCGCACCCCCTGGAATATCGTCTCGTACCCCCAGGGTTGTGGTGATGAGAACTGGATGTGGTATTCCAAATGGGGTCTCATCAGTGCATTATGGAGCAGTACTATCACTTCCTTGACCTTGTTACTATCTCTCTATTGATGCAGCCCAGAACTACCTTGGCTTTTTTGGCAGCTGCAGCACACTGATTCATACTTAAGTAGTGTTCCATCAGGAGACCTACATCCTTCCCACATTTGTGCATTTGTTTTTTTCCTACCTACATGCAGAACCTTACTTTTCTTACCACTGAACTACATCTTGTTGGATAGGACCCAAAGATCTGTCAAGAACCTTCTGAATCTTGAATTTATCTTCCAAAGTCTTAGCAATTCCTGCAAATTTGATGAGCGCCTCTTCAGTCCCCTCATCTAGGTCATTTATGAAGATATTGAAGAGCATCGAGTCCAGGACAAAACCTTGATTAACCCCACTGCATACTTCTCTCCACATAGATATAGTTCCATTGAGGACCACACACTGAGTGTACTTAGCCAACCAACTACAAATCCATCTGGTAGTGATAGCATCAATCCCACATTGTTCTATCTTACCAAGATGTACTGTAGGCTGTGGTCTGCTTTATCAAACGTCTAACTGAAATCTAGTAGGTATATTACATCCACAGCATTTCCTTGGTCCAATAATTTAGCCACTTTATTTAAAAAGGCAATAAGGTTTGTTTGGAATGACCTGTTCTTAACAAATCCATGCTGGTTTCTAGGAATAACCTTGTATTTCTAGCTGCTCATAAACCTACACCTTGAATATCTTTCCAGATGCAAAAGACAGATGCAAGAAAGAAATTAAGCAGTTCTGCCTTCTCCCCGCTGCCCGTCTTCTTCTTGCCATTGTTTCTCACTAGTGGACTAACCATTTACTTGTGGTTAGTATCCTATATTGTTTTTATAACAGGATTTGTATTGGAAGGAGAAAGAAAAGCCATTTTTTTTCACACCAGAGCAACTAAAGATGAAATTTTTCTGTAGAAGGCTAGGGAGGAAACAAGATTGACACACATGACAATTTGCCCTTTAAAAATGTTTATTGTCACATCTTTGGGCCATAGTAAGCAGAATGAGCTCGTGGTCATGAGTGTAATATTTACAAAAATTACAAGCCTGCTAGTTACTGACTTTTAGGTTACTATTCCAAATAAATGCAGAGAATATACACAGAGAATATAAGATGCAGCCATTAATCTAGTACCTTGATCAACTTCTCACAGATAGTTTTGATTAAAGTTCATTTAAATTTGACTTATTTGATTAGGTGCAATAACTACTTTTATAAAAGACTGAAAACTCTTTGTGGATTTTTTCTGAAAATGAATAAAAATGAACCGGTGACCTCTGGATTTACTGATTAAAAAGGGCTGTATGCTCTCAAATGAAGTGTTATTAAATGTTATTCTTCAGTTTGGTAATAGTGAAGAATTTTATGCTGACAATAATGTTTATACTATCTTGCTAATAATATTCTTGAAGATACGTCTTTGGGAGTTTGTATAAACATAAAACCTCATTTTCCAGCCCACTTTTTCAATAAAATTGTTAATGCGCTTCAGGTTGTTGTATGAAATATCCCTTAGAATGCTTAGGCAAAAGCCTGATGAAATCATTGCAAGTTCACTCACACATAATTTTCAGTTGTGGTGCTGTCAGAGTTTAATTTTTTGTTCTTGCTGCTTTCAAAATAATTTTCTGAGTGTCTTCAGCAAGTTCATCCTTGAAATTGTTATTTGCTTTATAAAGTCCTGAACATTATAAGGAATTAGCAAAAATGAAAGGACCAATTCTGTCTCCAAATACTTTAGGTAAAGTTGCTCTTTCACATTTTTATGGAAAAATCAGCATATTGTCCTTGTTCATTTATGTTCCCCCTTTCCCAATGATTCTCCTGAAAAAGAGTGTTGAAATAGCTTCAGAAATATGGACAGGACAATGAAGATTAGAATTTAGAATGAAAATTAGTGTGGAAAGAAAATGCAAGTTTTGCTAGAGATACCTGATTTTTTTTTTACCTTTTCTTTTTGCAAATCAGTCCTGTTCCATTAAAGGATTTTACTGCTACCCT